TAACGTAGGAGGTGAATGTTGCAGTGAGCCAAGATCACACCACTGCACTCCAGCCTGGGCGACAGAGCAAGACTCCATCTAAAAAAAAAAAAAAAAAGAAAGCAATCTTCCTATTTGGGGTGTGCGGGGGTCATCTCCTGATAGAAAGGGATCTGCCCAGGGAACCTCAGGCTTTCCAGGGCTCTGGGTTCCTGAGTGGCAGAGCACCATGGTTGAGCTGTGCGCCAAAGCCAGAATAAATAAACCTATACCTCTCGTGTCAGATTCAATACCTTTTATGAAATTCTAGTGGAGATGAGTCATAGTAGACATCAAAGATTTCAGAAAAATTTGAGGGAGAAAAGCATTAGACTGAAAAGAATTCTATGTATTCCCTTAAATATTTCTGGGAACTGGGGTGAGCTACTGGTACCAGTCAGGTTCCTGGTGGCAAACAGAAGAGACCAACTTGCTAGCTTATGCAGGAAGGGGATTTATTAGGAGACCATCAGAAAGCTCAGCAAATGGCAGGAAGTGCGAGGTGAGGATTACACACCTGTGATCCCATCTCTTTGGGAGGCCAAGGTAGGAGGATTGCTTCAGCTCAGGTGTTCGAGACCAGCCTGGTGAAACCCCATCTCTACAAAAAATGCAAAGATTAGCCAGGTGTGGTGGCACATGCCTGTAGTTCCAGCTACTTGGGAGATTGAGGTAGGAGGCTCACCTGAGCCCAGGGGGGTCAAGGTTGCAGTGAGCCATGATCACGTCCCTGCACTCTAGCCTAGGTGACAGAGCAAGATCCTCTCTCAAAAACAAACAAACAAAATGAACAAATGGCAGGAAGGCTAGAGAAGAAACTTAGAAAAAAAAAAAAGGCCAAACCAAGAGGGACAAAATGCAGCTGAGACCAAACCACAGGAACTGTGGGCCGACACCGCCACTCCTGGACAATCATCATGGCCTGCAAGCAGGTGGCCCCTGGGATACTCACTGCCCACCACTGGCCCCTAATCCCACCTTCTATATAGGAGCCTCTCAGATTGACCCAATCTGTGTCACATGCCCACGCCAGCTGCCCAGGGTGGGTGGCAGGAGGTGATGCCTGCTCTGTTTCTCAACTTGTCACTTCCACCCCTCTCCAAGAACTCAGAGGCTCTGCTCAGTGAAACCCTCTGTTCTCTAGCCACTGGCCTTACTTTTTTTTTTCTTTCTTTCTATCTTTTTTTTTTTTTTCTTTTTTAAGATGGAGTCTTACTCTGTCACCCAGGCTGGAATGCAATGGCGTGATCTTGGCTCACCACAACCTCCGCCACCTGGGTTCAAGCGATTCTCCTGCCTCAGCCTCCCGAGTAGCTGGGATTACAAGCAAGCGCCACCATGCCAGGCTAAATTTTGTATTTTTAGTAGAGATGGTATTTCACTATGTTGGCCAAGCTGGTCTCCAACTCCTGACCTCAAATGATCCGCCTACCTCGACCTCCCAAAGTGCTGGGATTACAGGGGTGAGCCACCATGTCTGGCCCACTGGCCCTATTTCTTTGTTAATTGCCATCATCCATTATAGAGTATGACAGGAGCAGGCTCAAATGTTATGCAGCCTGGAGCTTATGCATTCAGGGGGAGCCTCTTTAAGAAATAATACAACGTTGCACATAGAAATTGCTAAAGCCCCTCCTTGGGCCTTGGAAGGGGGTGGTGCAAGTGAGACGCCTGCAGCTTAAACTTCAGCAACTTCATCATGAATCCCCCCTGAGGAGAGAGACCAGTTCATAAGCCATTTCCTGTCCGTGGATGTCATAGATTTGTCAGGTTTTCTGCTGTTACAAACATGCCACAAAGAACATTCTAATATGCAACTCTTTTGTGAACATGTGTAAGTATTTCTCCAGGTTAGACAGCGCTAGAATTGCCAAGTTGTAGGACAAGAGCCTTTTCATTTTTATCTGATGGTGTCCTGCCAAATTGCCACCCAAGGGGTGTCGCTAAATCCAATTCCCATCAGAATTGCAGGGAGAGTTTTCTCACATCTTTGCCAGCACTGGATATAATAATATTTTTCATTGTTTTGCCAACTGATGGAAAAAAATGAAAGTGATCTCAACGTTGTTTTAATTTACCATATTAGTTTTCTAGGGGTGATATAACAAAGGACCACACACTAGGTGGTTTAAAAATAGAAATGTGGCCAGGCGCGGTGGCTCACGCCTGTAATCCCAGCACTTTGGGAGACCGAGGTGGGCGGATCACTTGAGGCCAGGAGTTGGAGACCAGCCTGGCCAACATGGTGAAACACCGTTTCTACTAAAAATACAAAAATGAGTTGGGCATGCTGAAGCATGCCTGTGATCCCAGCTACTTGTGTGGCTGAAGCACGAGAAGCGCTTAAACCTGGAAGGCGGAGGTTGCAGTGAGCCAAGATTGTGCCACTGCACTCCAGCCTGGGCAACAGAGTGAGACTCCATCTCAAAAAATAAATAAATAAATAAATAAATGGAAATGCATTGTCTTACAGTTTTGGAGGTTCAAAGTCCAAAATCAAAGTGTTGGCTGGGCGAGGTGGCTCACAACTGTAATCCCAGCACTTTGGGAGGCCAAAGCAGGCCGATCACTTGAGGTCAGGAGTTCGAGACCAGCCTGACCAACGTGGTAAAACCTCATCTCTACCAAAACTATAAAAAATTTGCCAGGTATGGTAGTGCATGCCTGCAGCTACTTGGGAGGAGAGGCAGGAGAATTGCTTAAACCTGGGAGGCAGAGGTTGCAGTGAGCCGAGATCGTGCCACTGCACTCCAGCTTGGGTAACAGAGCAAGACTCTGTCTCAAAAAAACAAATAAACAAACAACAATAACAAAAAAATTAAAGCGTCGACAAGCCCATGCTTATGCTGAAACCTGTAGTGTAGAATCCTTCCTTGCCCCAGCCCAGCCTCTGGTGATTTGCTGGCAATCTTTAGCATTCTTTGGTCTGGAGATGCCTCCCTCCAATCTTCCTTCCTGTGTGTCTCCGTCTTCACTGGCCAGCTCCTTCTAAGGATGCCATGTTGGATGGGAGCCCACCCAACTCCAGTAAGACCCCATCTTGACCAATTACCTCTGCCATTACCCTGTTCCCACAAAGATCACATTCAGAGGTGGCTGGAGGTTAGGACTAAAACATATTTTTTTCAGAAGGACACACTTCAGCCAGTAACATTCACATTCCTCTAATTTCTGGAGACATTGAACTTCTTTTCCTAGGTTTACCGGGAATTTGGATCCTTTCTTCTTCAAATCACCCTTTCATATGAGTTGCGCAGCTTCCTATTGGGTTTTCTTGTTTGTTTGTTTGTTTGTTTGTTTTGGGGATTTTTTGGTCATTTTCTTATTTCTTTCAAGATTCTCTCTATTTTTCATTATGAAGCTGTTATACTGTGGCAGGCAAAGGTTTCTCCCAGCCCGTCACATGTGTGTTGACTTTAGTTTTTGTTCGTTTTTTGTTTGTTTGTTTGAGACGGAGTTTCGCTCTTGACGCCCAGGCTGGAGGGCAGTGGCGCAATCTTGGCTCACTGCAGCCTCCACCTCCTGGGTTCAAGCGATTTTCCTACCTCAGCCTCTTGAGTAGCTGGGACTATAGGCGTGTGCCACCACGCCCAGATAATTTTTGTATTTTTAATAGAGATGAGGTTTCACCACGTTGGCCAGGATGGTCTCAATCTCTTGACCTCATGATCCGCCTGCCTCTGCCTCCCAAAGTGCTAGGATTACAGGTGTGAGCCACCGTGCCTGGCCCGTTTTTTTGTTTTTTGTTTTTTGTTTTTTGAGACAGAGTCTCAATCTGTCACCCTGGCTGGAGTGCAGTGGTTCCATCTCGGCTCACTGCAATCTCCACCTCCCGATTCATGCGATTCTCCTACCTCAGTCTCCCGAGTAGCTGGGACTACAGGCATGCACCTCCACACCTGGTTAATTTTTTTTTTTTTTTTTGTATTTTTAGTAGAGACAGGGTTTTCACCATGTTGGCCAGGCTGGTCTCGAACTCGTAATCTCAAGTGATCCTCCTACCTCGGCCTCCCAGAGTGCTGGGATTATAGGCACGAGCCACTGTGTCCGGCCCCTGGAGGCCTTTTCACTTGAGGGTCCTTCTCCCTTGAAAGCATCCGTCCCACTCTTTTCCTTCAGGTATTACATTTCATTATCTCAATGATCTTTCTTCTTCCCTAATATCAAATTCAGATAGAGCTCCCCACTCCTACGGGTGTTTAGCCCAGTGGACGGTGGTGTGCACCAGCCCCTGAATTCCAAAACACATGCAGCCCAAGCGTGAGAGGGAAGGTGGGTGCCCCAAGCCTGCTCCATTCCACTTTTCAGAGACGACAGAGACTCAGGTCATGGAAGACAGAAAGATGTGCCGCCCTTCAGGATAAGAACTTGTCTGTTTTTGTGCTGAAGATGCGTATTTTCTTCCTGCCCTGCCCAAAACCTGGTACCAACCAAAAAAGAAAATATTCCTCGACATGCTCTTGGCTGCTGCTCCTCCTTGACTACCTGCCTAATACCGAGGATGAATTGCCTTGAGGAGAACTAGAATTGCTAAAGCAGGAATCATAAATTCAGCTTTTGACTTTTCAGAACGGGCTCTTGAGGCCCGAATAAAATAAAATAGGCTTCTTTAGTTATCCATTTATTCGGCAAATATTTATTATACCCCTGCTATGAGCTGGGCAGGTTCAAGGCGTGGGATACAACAGTGGAAAAGGTGGTGCTTCAAAGGAGGGCCTTGAAAACAAACAGGAAAGACCATGAGTGGTGGCTCACGCCTGTAATCCCAGCACTCTGGGAGGCCAAGGAGGGTGGATCACCTGAGGTCAGGAGTTCAAGACCAGCCTGGCCAACATGGTGAAACCCTGTCTCAACTAAAAATACAAAAAATTAGCTGGGTGTGGTGGCTCATGCCTTTAATCGCAGCTACTCAGGCGGCTGAGACAGGAGAATCTCTTGAACCCGGGAGGCAGCAGTTGCAGTGAGCCGAGATGGTGCCACTGCATACACCAGCCTGGGAGACAAAAGGAAACTCTGTCTCAAAAGAAAAGAAAAAGGTGGTGTTTTGCCCACATCCTCCATGGAGCTTGTCCTAGTGGAGAGAGGAAAATCATCAAATCAACAAGGAAACATCAGTATGTCACGTGCTATGGATTGATCTAGAGAATAACAGAGCAGAGCAAGAGGAGACAGAGGAGGAGGGATAGTTCTGGGGCAGGACCCTCAGGGTGGGGGTGGGCCTCTGGGAGGAGGTGGCATTGGAGCAGATGTGAGTGGTTTTTTTTTTTTTTGAGATGGAGTCTCGCTCTATTGGGAGGCTGGAGTGCAGTGGCACGATCTCTGCTCACTGCAACCTCCGCCTCCTGGATTCAAGCAATTCTCCTGCCTCAGCCTCCTGAGTAGCTGGGACTACAGGTGCGTGCCACCACGCCCGGCTAATTTTTGTATTTTTAGTGGAGACGGGGTTTCATCATATTGGTCAGGATGGTCTCAATCTCTTGACCTCGTAATCCTCCTGCCTTGGCCTCCCAAAGTGCTGGGATTACAGTGGTGAGCCTCCGCACCCGCCGATGTGAGTGTTTTGAGAAGAGAGAGTAAACAGTGCCAGTGAGGAGGAGGATGGGAGGGCAAAGGTGACCATGGTGGGGAGTGAGGTGGGAAGGAGCCCTCCTGAGGGACCCAGCCATGGACTTGGGAATCTATCCCAAGAGCTTTAGGAAGCCGAAGGAGGGGAGGAGCTGGCTCTGATGTGGGTCTGGGGAAGTTCACGCCAGCTGCTCCTGTGGGAGGGTGGAAGCCGTGCCTGGGCCGGGTGAGCAGTGGCAGAAGCAAGGACCCAGCAGCAGCCATGGGGCCACATGTGCACAGGGCGCTGGTGGTTTCCGAAGCAGGAGCCGCTGGCACGTGGGTTGGGTTGGGAAAGGGGGAAAAGGAAACAGAGGTCTCTAAGGTGACTTCAGGGTTTTTGTCCTAAGCGACAGGGTGAACAGTGGTGCCATTTCCTGGGAGGAGAGTGGGTTTGAGGGACCACGCCTTGCACTTTGGAAGGTGTTTAAAACATCCACGTGGCGGGGCCCAGCAGGTAATCACACGTGTGGGCTGGAGCGCTGTGGAGAGGCTGGAGGTGGAGATAAATGTGGGACTCACTCATTGGCAGAGTGTACTCCAGTGGGAGTGGTTTGCGAGCTTCAATACAGAGGAGGAGGAATCTGAGGAACATTCAGGAGACAAGAGCCCATGAGGCTCCACGCTGCCCAAAGCCCTTGTCTCCCAGCTCACGCGTCATCACCTGAATGTGTGGCCCCCCATGGCTCTCAACATCCCCCTACCTGTCCAGTCTCACGCCCCTCCTCATCTGCCAAGTGCCTCACCTGTCCTCAGGCCCCAGCCCCTGCCCACAGCAAATCCCTCTATGTCCCCACCCTCTTCTCTGCTCGCCTGACTCTTCCCTGAATGAGGACACTGCTTCCTTTTAACCCTTCAAGGGGGCTGCTTTTTCCTTCCAGGCTCCCTGTCCTAAAAGGCTAGAGGTGGGATTGGGCTCTCCCGAGCTCCTCGTTGCCTCTTCACGATCACTGTCCCTCTCTCCTTCCTCAAACCTCGCAGCGCCTTTGGTGCACAGGCCCTGGGGTGAGCTCCCTGGTTCCAGTCGCATGCCTTCCTCCCAGGCATTCCAGGTAAGCCAGGATCACACGTGCAGTGGCTCCCCGTCGGCTCTCTCGGCCACTATTCCCTCCACCTCCCTTCTCTATGATTTCAGCATCATGGATGTAGACAGCCCATCCAACCTGGGACCTAGGGCCTAGACCTCCCTGCTGCCAAGGATCTGTTCTTTGGCCACCTGCTGACCTGGTCATATTATCATTGGCAAGAACAGTAGCAGCTGCAGAACTGCCACTTTTAATCCCCTGTCTCAGACCTCCACCTCCAAACGATATTCTGTCTTCTTCCTCTTAGTCTCCTGATGTGACAACCTCCTCATATTTGGGGCCCCTAAGCCACTTTTAAGCCACCAGTTAAAAGCCACATCTTTTAACTGGTCACCATCCCCTTTCCTATTCTTTTTTTTTTTTTTTGGAGACGGAGTTTTGCTGTGTCGCCCATGGTGGAGTGCAGTGGTACAATCTCAGCTCACTGCAACCTCTGCCTTTCGGATTCAAGCAATTCTCCTACCTCAGCCTCCTGAGTAGCTGGGATTACAGGTGCCCGCCAACACGCCCAGCTAATTTTTGTATTTTTAGTAGAGACGGGGTTTCACCTTGTTGGCCAGGCTGGTCTCGAACTCCTGACCTCAGGTGATCCACCCACCTCGGCCTGCCAAAATGTTGGGATTACAGGAGTGAACCACCGCACCTGACCCCCTTTCCTATTCTTATGTTCTAACCCAGATTAGATCCAAGCACCATCATGTTAACTCTTTCCTTGCTGAACAGCTGAAAGTGGCTGGAGGACACTCGGCCATGCTGAACGTCCTCACTTTCACTTTATGACACAAAGCTGAATAGAACCTCGGTTCTGGTCAGCAACCCAATCACCCTTCTCTGGTCCAGTTTTTCTCCCACCTCTCTGAGAGGCAGAGAAGTAATCAGTACGAAACACGGCCTCCTCCTTAGCACTCATTGCTTAGGCAGTTTGTTGGGATGAAGTGGGATGGCCTTGTTGGGAGGGCATGACTGTCTCACTACAAATCTGAGGGTGCCCACTGTCCCGCTGCAGAAAGAGCTGAGGCAGAGCCAGAGTTTTGTTTTTTTGTTTTTTTTTGAGTCTCACTCTGTTGCCCAAGCTGGAGTGCAGTGGCACAATCTCGGCTCACTGCAACCTCCACCTCCTGGGTTCAAGCGATTCTCCTGCCTCAGCTTCCTGAGTAGCTGGGACTACAGGCACGCGCTACCATGCCCGTTTAATTTTTGTATTTTTAGTAGAGACAGGGTTTCACTATGTTGGCCAGGCTGGTCTTGAACTCCTGATCTCATGATCCATCGCCTCAGCTTCCCAGAGTGCTGGGATTACAGGTATGAGCCACCACGCCTAGCCGAGCAGAGATTTTGATGTCACACGCTCGGTTTGAGCCCCTGAATGGGGAAGCACATGGTATTTATCCACTGACAGTACATTAGAAGGGAAGAGATTCACCAGAGATTCACCAGGGTGGGAGGAAGTTACTTTTAGGGGCTTGCGGGGAGTTTGTTGGGGTCTTCTTGACCCAGGAGAAGAGCAGGAGTAGCAATTCTCTCCCAGTGCCAAGCACTCTGCAGGTGACTGAACCAGCTGCTAGGACCAGGAGACACCTGCTACTTGAAAGAGCTCTGCTATGCATTTCACCTGTGCCCTGCATCCAGGAGGACTGAGCCATGCATCTGCCCTCAGGTGAGAGCTCTCAGGACCAGCTGCTTGCACGTCACCCGTGGGCCATCCAGCTGGGATGCTCTTCAGCCCAAATTGGTTTGATTTGGCAATAAGGAGGTTGTTAGTGACCTGCAATAAAAGTTTCGGTGGAATTTGGCAGAAGCCAAGTGGCTCTGGGGAGTATGTGGTATGTGAGGAAACTGAGGCAGCCAATGTAAACAACTCTTTGAAAAGGTGCTTTGGGGCCGGTTGCGGTGGCTCATGTCTGTAATCCTAGCACTATGGGAGATTGAGGCAGGAGGATCGCTTCAGCTCAGGAGTTTAAGACCAGCCTGGACAACATAGGAAGACCCTGTCTGTACAAAAAAAAAAAAAAAAAATTAGCCAGGCGTGCCGGCATGCACCTGTAGTTCCAGCTACTTGGGAAGCTGAGGTGGGAGGATCACTTGAGCCCAGGAGGTCGTCTGCAGTGAGCTGTGATTGCACCACTACACTCCAGCCTGGGCGACAGAAGAAGATCCTGTCTCAACAACAACATCCAAAAAAAAGTGCTTTGGCCTCAGAGCCAGGTTACTTGTTAGAAAAAGACACAAGGTTGAGAGAAGGAGGTAGACATGGAAGGGTTCTTGTTTGTTCTTGGCAAGGAGTCAGTAGAGAGAGAGAGAGGTGGAAGATGCCCAAGAGCATCCAGGAGCCAAAGGTGGAATTTAGGAATCAGTGCACAGCAGGGAGGACTGGCTTCAGTGGGAAAAGGACACATCTCCCCTCCGGGAGGTGACAGGTGGGGCAGTCAGGTAGGCACCTTGGTGGCAGGATGATGGCAGAGTTCCTATCTGAAGGCTGCCAGTTTCTGAGTATAATAGAAAGTGAGGTTTTCAATAGCCATGATGGAAGATTTTGGGGGTGAGCTGATGAGGAGAGTCCAGCGGCTGGCAGGTAGTATTAGAGGACACAGTTACGGTTGATGTCCATGGATTGACAGCACCAGATTCTGCAGTGATGTGATTTTCTCCAGCACAGCTTAGGACCCAGCGGTAGCCAAGAAGGATGAGGAGACTGGCTCTGAGTCAGGGCTTCCAGGTTAGTGCGTCAGTGAGACAGGTCAAGAAAAGTCAGGATTTCAGGCGAGGTGGCTCACACCTGTAATCCCAGCACTTTGAGAGGCCAAGGCAGGTAGATCACCTGAGGTCGGGAGTTCAAGACCAGCCTGACCAACACGGAGAAACCCTGTCTCTACTAAAAATACAAAAATTAGCCAGATGCCTGTAATCCCAGCTACTCAGGAGGTTGAGGCAGGAGAATCGCTTGAATCTGGGAGGCGAAGGTTGTGGTGAGCTGAGATCACGCCATTGCACTCCAGCCTGGTCAACAAGAACAAAACTTCATCTCAAAAAAAAAAAAAAAAAGAGATAAGTCAGGATGTTGTCAAGAGATTGGCCAAGATGGGGAACTGTGGAATCCATGCTGGAGAAGGAAGCAAAGACTGGAGGGAGAGGCCAGAAAGGAGGGTTGGAGTCAAAGATTGTTGCAGGAGAAAGGATGGAAGTGAGAGCAGCCAACAGCAGGAGAATAGATGACCACAGAGAGACAAAGGACCACCCAGAATGCAGTAAGTCAGGGTGGGACCCTTGGCTGCAAGTTCTGGCCTTGCGAAGGGGGCAGAGCTCCAGGGAAGGTGAAATGACGGAGGGGGGAGGGAAGTCAGGGAACTGACAGAGAGGTTGGTTGTTGTAGGGGTCATGTAAG